CCCCGGTACGCGCAACTGGTGATGGGCCCGGCGGGCAGCGGGAAGGTGAGCGGGGAAACGGCGGGGAACGAGGGGCGGCGGGAGCCTCCAGACGGCTCCTGACGGCCGTGTGTGCCTTGCAGAGCACGTACTGCTCCACCATGGTGCAGCACTGCGAGGCGCTGGGCCGCGCCGTGCAGGTGGTGAACCTGGACCCGGCGGCCGAGCTCTTCAGCTACCCCGTCATGGCAGGTGAGCGGCGGCCCCCGGACAGCCCCGGGCACCGCCGGGCTCCAACCGCGCTGTGGGTGTACAACCGGACAGGTTCTATTGCCCTAAAACGGAGCCCATGCAGCGGTAGGGGAAGATGTCTGAAAATCGTTTCAAGAAAATAGTGTGTGATCCTTATATCAGTGAATAATTCCAGTTGGGTACCAAGTAGTGCTTAGTGGCTATGTCAGGGATTAATGCAGTACCGGGATAGCTCCCTGCATCAGTGACTGTTTTCCTGTGCTTAATCCCTGTATTTACCTTCAAAAGTGATTCATATGTACTGGCAGATGCCTCAGTTTTGAGAGCAACAACTGTGTTCGTGTCTGAACAAAGATGATAGGAAAAGTGCATCTTGACCTGGCCACATAGCTGAGATGCTCTCAGGAGAAGAGATCCATTAAAAGATCCAGGACCATGAAGATCTGGGGAATGACATGTTTCCCAGACAATCACCAGGAACCCTCAAAAGACATCCCCCAGATAAGTCTGGGGAAGTATTTAGCATATATTAATTCCGGAAATGAAGGAATTTGTGTAGGTTCCATGAGCATAACCTGTTCACTTTGGCTGCTGGCTGTACCTGGGAGATCCCCCTGCAGCCGGCACTGCTGTAAAGTCGTGTTGGTTTTCTCAGCTGCCAAACTGCAGAGTTCATTTCCTGGCTTTGGTGACGTTTGTGTTGTCGCAGACATCCGCGAGCTGATAGAAGTGGACGATGTCATGGAAGATGAGTCCTTGAGGTTTGGCCCCAATGGTGGCTTGGTGTTTTGCATGGAATACTTTGCCAATAACTTCAGCTGGCTGGAGGAGAGCCTCGGGCACGTGGAGGATGACTATGTTTTGTTCGATTGCCCAGGTAAACACACACCAGTGTTTTGGTATCGTTCTTCATAAGCATTGGAAAATTTGCAAATTGGAAAATCTGGTTGTAGGTGGTGGTGATAATTCCCATTTTGTTGAGCTATTGATTGTTGTCAGAGTCACTTTCAAGTGTCTCAGGAATGAACTCGGTCCTGGGCTGATGTGGGTGACTGCACAGATGTTTGGTAGAATCATGAGCTGTGGAAACTGCAAACTAACACTAACTGGAGACCAAAGGAGGAAAAGCCCCCTTTTATTTCTTTTCCACTTAGCCCAAACACAGCCAGAGCTGCCTGAAAAGAGGGTGCTTTCCTTATCAGTTTTTATTTAAATGCAATTCCCATGTCTGCATAAAACTGTGGAGTGTTCCTGTTTGCTTCACATTCCTACCTGTTAATATCCTGAGTGTATCCCAGGTCAGATCGAACTCTACACGCACCTGCCAGTGATGAAACAGTTGGTGGAGCAGCTGCAGCAGTGGGAATTCCGTGTCTGTGGAGTTTTCCTTGTGGATTCTCAGTTTATGGTGGAATCTTTCAAGGTATCCATTTGAAATCTGTTGCTAAAGTTCATTTTTATAAAGAACAACAAGTCTGAGCCATTCAGGGAGCTGGGTTTGCCCAGAGGAAAAATTGCCGAGTCCAGGGAGATCTGGTTGCTGTCATCAGCTGCCTCAGACACAGGACAGCAGCAAGGACAATCCCAGATGGATGTGAAGACACTGTGAGAGTGGTCAGACTGGGACAGGCACAGAGGGGATGAGCAGTGAGTGTTCATGGAGTCAAAGCTTGACTGGGTAAACCCCAGAGCAGCCTGGTCTGACCTGGCAGTGCCCCTCTTTGAGCAGCTGTAGGGGCCAGACAACTTCCACAAGTCCCTTCCAACCTAAATTCTTCTCCACAAGAGCTTTCTTAGATCCCAAGAACAAGCAGGTCACTTTCCCCATTAGCAGTAACTATGCCAAGAACGGTTTGGCTTTTCTTAATGTCCTTTTCAGTGGCAGATCCATATTTGAGGCTCCAAAGATTGAGAGAGTACTTGGAACCTCCTTTTTCCAACAGAGAGAATGATTCCTCATATGGCTTTGTGTCCATGTTCCATATATTCATTACCAGATTTGGCCTGTGGTTGAGTGTCCTGTGTGTTTGTGTTGTGTTTTTCTGTACTTTAATACATTATTTTTCATCCTCTTCAAGTTTATTTCTGGAGTCCTGGCAGCTCTCAGTGCAATGATATCTTTGGAGATTCCACAAATTAACGTCATGACCAAAATGGATTTGCTGAGCAAGAAAGCCAAAAAGGAAATAGAAAAGTAAGCTCCAAAAAATTATTTACTCTGTAGTATAATACACTGAGGCAAAGTTCACTGAAAGTTCAGTCTAATATTTCCCACAATTAAAACATACTCTTTTGGAATGGGAGAAGATGGATTTTGTTTATTTCAAACAATAGTCCTTAAACACCTGGGTAGGATGCTTAGTTTAGTCAGAGTCGATAGCTCCATGTTTGTACTGATCTCTGGATTTTTCTGTAAGTAATTATCTTAGATCTTTTCTGTCATTCTGAATGACAGACTTTCAGTGTTGATGGTGACTTTGTTTCTCCAGGTACTTGGATCCAGATATGTATTCTATGATTGAAGATTCTACAAATATATTGAAAAGTAAAAGGTTTAAAAAACTGACCAAATCTATATGTGGACTGGTAGGTATATTGCTCTTGGGCTGGAACCATAAAATTCACTATCACTTTTTGCCTCTTTTAACTCAGTTTTTTTATTTTTTTAGATTAGCATGAGATTCTTGATGATACTGATATGATACTCTTGGTATCTGGATTATAGCAAATACATTTTATTTGAATTCTTTTCTGTTGGCAGTTTTGGGAATTGGCTATTGCAACTGTATAGAACTTGGGACTGGTAGCCAGGCGTTGTGAGTGGGGAATTGCCATTGGTTTGCAGTGTGACTGCAGAATGGTATTTTAGAGGTTCAGACAAGTGTGGTTTAAGGAAGTGGCTTAGAGTGCTGTGGTTGAGAATGAACTTTCTGCATTTCCCTACCAACATCCTTTGAATCCTTCCATAGATTGATGATTATGGTATGGTTCGATTCCTGCCTTTGGATCGCTCTGATGAGGAAAGTATAAACATCGTTCTGCAGCACATAGACTTCACCATTCAGTATGGAGAAGATCTGGAATTTAAAGAACCAAAGGTAAGAGATTGTTGGTGAGAAGATGAAAAATTAGAAAGTATCCATAATATGAGTTGTAATATAAATATGTTCTTTGCTAATGAATTATTGTCTTAGTACTGTTCAAAATAAGCCATATTTAGTCTTTCAGTGACAATGTTTCTATCATCTTCATTTAGTTATAAAAGTGAAATTATTTAACATCATCTTGCATATCCAGATTGCTCAAATGGTTGTTTAAAAGTATTGCTTTGGTTTTCAAAATTAACAGAGTTTAAACCTTCAAATGTTAGAAAGGACCACTGCGATCACTAAGATTTTTTTCCTGTATGACTGTTCAAAGTCCCCTGATGATTCCTGTGTTCAACCCAGGCAAGCTTACATTTTCTGGGTTTTTTTTTGACAGGAGTGTGAAGAAGATAAATCTGCTATTGTGGATGAATACTTTCAAGATCGTGTGGATGAGTAAAAACATGTTCAAATTGGGAGGAAAAATACTTCACTTTTGGTAAAAAATAAAAACTAAAAAAAAAAAAAACCCTGAACTTCTACACAAACACACTAGATGTTTTATCTGTAAAATAACTAATATTTATAGTGGAGAGTGAGTTACATGACCTTGTAACTACTTTAATAAACAATTTTTTTATTATTATGCCTGTGTGTGTTATAACATTCATAGACCAGTGTTAGTACATACAAAAAAGCAGAGCCAGAACTGGGCAAGAGGTTCAACAGACCAGCAAGTCCTGCATATCTAGAGGTAAAGGGCTCAGAAAAACCTGTATGTGGCAGGTCTTGATCTGGCTGAATTATACCATTCACAAGTTGGGGAACTACTGTGCTTTAATTCACCTCCAGACTGCCATTGGGACGAGCCGTGATTCGGGTGTGTTGAAAGGAAAAACCCCAGCCCTGCAGTTGCGTTATTGTGATTCACCTTCCAAACCTCTCCATTTTTGTTTCCCTGACTCATCCCGAGAGTCAGCTACCAGGGGATAAATTCAGCAACGCTGGGTCACAGGGAAGGTAATGGCGTGGTAGCAATTGGAATGTGCACCTTAAAATATTCTATTCCTCTGAACACAACACGTTTGGACACCTCCTGTGCTTCCTTACACGAAATGCCCCGTGCCGCTGGCTGGGCTGTGCTGGAAACGCACAGGAGAGAAAACCAGCTGCGAGTGAAGCATCCTGGAACCCCTTCCCCGCTGCCTCCCGGGGTCCCCTCCGGTACTGACAGTGCCCTGGTAGAGCGGTGCTCCCCCTGGCCCTTTCCCCGTCCGGGCAGTGCCCGGGCACAGCGCTGCCTCCCGGGATCCCCTCCCGGTGCGCTGCCTCCGGGGCGGTGCGCGGCTCCCGCTTCCCCTCCTCGCACCGCCTCTGCCGCTGCCTCATTTCCTGCAGCGTAGGCGGAGGAGGAAGCTCTGTGCCCGCTTTGCCGCCCGGTTCGCCCCGCTCCCCTCCGGCCCGGCCCAGCCGAGCCGCCTCCTGC